TTTTTCTTCTTCTTCTTTCCTTTCATCCCAAATCATTATTTTCTTCGAACCGTGTTAAATATTTTCATTGCAAAACTGTCGATTTGACATGAAATAAAATTATCACGCTAAATAATAATCGAAATGCACCAATTCTTCATTTATTGTCCCTTTAATCGAGACAAGAAGAAATAATTTTTAGATTTCGATTTAAACATCTTTTAATAATTACTCACTCGCACGTTTCCATACCATTCACCGTACGCAAAAATACAAAACTCACTTTTTCTCCCTTTTCATCAACTTTCCCTTATTTTAAAGCAACAAAAATAATGAGGAATTCGCAATTCGGATAAACACCGATTATTTCTGTTTATTTCTGGCCGAAACGGTCTTTTGAGGATCGAGTATTGCGTAATAATCGATCATCCTCTCAAGGACATTAGAGGAAAGTGGTTGTGGTTCATGGAAATCGTGCCATTCAATAGAATTGCGTAATCGAGCATGGTTGTTCAACCATGCAGGATTGCACGTTGCGCAACCGGTTCGTTTCGATCGATCCAATCTTTCTTTTTTTTCACGTTCGATTCTTTCTCTCTCTCTCTCTCTTTCACACGCACACGCACACACTGGAATATCCGGTGCTCGAAACACACTTCCTCCATTGATTCGTGAATTCGAAACCTCGATATTGCTCCTCGGTCCAAGGCGTTATTGCCGAATTGCCGCGATATTGCCGATCCACTCTTCTCATTATTCCCCCACACGAGTTGGAATTGGAAAAGATGAGCCGATCCATCCATTTTCTCTGCCTCGATGCGGTTTGAACGAGATATTCGTGTTGTGGGGTTGGTCGAACGAGACGAGATTTTGGAAATTTTTTTTTCGCGATTCGAATTTTCTATATTATAATGTATTATAATTTTTAGATTTATTCTCCGTTCGAGATAATTTCGACGGTGATGATTTGTCGAAATGTTGATCGAAATGAGATGATAGCGTTCCAATGTTCGAGGTGATACGAGTTTATAAAAGTTTTTTCCAATGTGTATTTTTTTACCAGAATGCTCATATATTCGTTGGAGATAGTTGAAGAGTGGTGGGACGATACAACACGGTTTTGAAAATTTTTCGTCGACACGACAATTTTTCATGAATGCGCTATGTAGATCTGTTTGGAGATAATTGGAACGGAATGATATACCAAATGAAAATTTTTTCATAACAATCTTTTTAAAAAGAAAGGTTTCTTTTGTATATTTCTCCTTCTTACTTTTTTTCTTCGATTGAATCGAGTTGTTCAATTTCATTATAAAAATTTATAATTAGTTACTTGGCGAAACGAAACAATTATCTCGAAAATTTATGTTCCGTTTGAATTTTGGACGGGTTCGTTCCATTTAGATTATCATTTGTGTTATCTGGTTTCACGTAATATGCCAACAATATGCTCGACACGTATAATGCAACATTAACACAAATCATTTTGTAACTGTTCCCTTTTGCGGTTGAACGTAATAGGCACACGTAGTAGAAAACGAAAGCTATTTAGAAGCGTGTATTTGCCCTGTTCTCAAGCGAGCGTGAGATCGATATATCGCAACGCCCCCTTCAGACTAATTACAACTACCAACTTTTCTTCGTTTGCTTTCACAGCGTGTCCGATTTCCCTGTATGTAATTACTTTTTCATACCGCGCGAATAAAAGTTGCTTTTGCAAAAACAAAAAAAAGAAAAAGAAAAAAAGACGTGCATGGAAAAGGAAATGGATGCCGATATCGGTCCCTCTAAAATCGAATTTTTCCTTGTTAATCCCATTTTAACGCACGACTTGGACCGAATTTAATGAGGAGCGTTGGAATATTTGAAATATTTCAAGATTGCGGCGATTGGACTGATGAAATCCCTCGCTTTTTCTAAGAGGAGGAGTTGAAATTAGAATTGTTGTTGTTATTTTCTTGTTCGAATTGAAGTCGATTAAATATATGATTAGGATATTACAAGACTGTATAGAATAAATGGAATTTTTTAGAAATAAGTTGGGACGAAACGTACTTTCAATCGTAATAATTATTCGTATAAGAAAATCTCTTGCGACGAATTCACATTTCTATGTAAATTTGAAAAATTTGAAATTGCGAGGGGTTCATCTATTAATTTCTATAAGTTATAAGGGATTAATTCTTTTTATCACTCGTGTTTTCAATGTAATTTACTTAGAATTAAGTATGAATAATTTTTTATGACAAGTTTGAGGTTATGAATTAGGTTAGGATTATCAAAAAGACGCCAAAAAATTAATGGCGTTTGTCACGTGATCGAAATCACCACCACCGCCATCTACCTTTACTTCCGAATAACCAATGACATTTGGTGTGTCCTTATAGCGGATTCGTTAAAAAAAGTATCCGCTTTATCCATTACGAATGTGAACAGAACGTTTCTCTTTTTTCTTTCTTTCTTTATTTCTCTCCCTCTCTGTTTCGAGCAAAGTATGAAAAGCTTTTGTCGACCGTTCGAGTCTTACTTTTCCAAGTTTCACTTTGTGCCGCTGGTGAACTCCCATCCGGGTCTCTCCTGTGTTCATTGTAGATACGGTTATGGATGGTAAGAGAAACGCGGTCGACGAGACGTTAACCGTAAAATTTAAGCAAAGAAAGTTCTTGCATCATGTTTTTATTTAAAAAAAAAATATCTGTTTCGCGGGTATGGCATGAATAATTTTTTTTTTCCTTTTTTTTGTTTTTTCTTCTTCTTCCATGGAAAATATAGTTCACGGACAAGAATTCAAAAAAAAAAAAAAAAAAAAAAAAAAA